TAAGGCACTTGACTGCTAACCAGGAGGCTGGCAGTTCAAACCCACCAGCCACTCCTCGGAAGGAAGATGGGGCAATCTACTTCCATAGTGATACTGCCTCAGAAACCCAAGGAGGTGTCACTATAAGTCAGATCCGACTCAACAGCACATAACAACAACAACAACAACAATAACAAAGTACCTTATATCTAGTAGGATTTTGATAATTGTTTGCTCAATAAAATTCTCTTTTCTCAGAGAAAATAGGCAAGGGTTATCCACAGTGGAAGAAATTGAACTAAAATATGAAAGAAGCAATTCTTCATTATTATCTAAAATTAGTTGGTAAACTGTTACCACAAAGGTTTGGATGATCCAAACAGAATCACACTAATCACAGATTCTTTCCCATGCAAATGTTACTAATGATTAGCAAAGGATACAAACAAAAACCAGATAAGAATTCCTCTCAGGAAGAGTCCTGACCCCATCTGACACAGCTTCCTAATTGTCCCTTTTCCCTCAATGGTACACACCCTGTTTCTGGAGTAATGGATGAGATCTAACAACGCATGTGGTATGTGTCAGCTCAGAGAAAGTAATTTAGCTTTAGGACTTGGTTTTTATACTCAATTAATCACACAGGGTGGAGAGTTTATAAACTGTATCTCATGAGTCCATAAATTCCAAGTTTATTTATTATAAACAATATGGACAATCTAAGTATATCTGCTAAAGCATTCACAGATAAGAACTCCTCCCATTAACTTTCCTGTAGTAAATACCATTGTCATGTTTTTAAGGCAGTCAACACTACCCAGGCTTCTGGAAGAGGGAAGGAGGGAGTCAGAAACTAGTCTCCCAACAGCTATGAAGAAAAACTAAAGTTTAGCTGTGTATGTGTATGTTCCAAGAACAGAAGATATTGTGATCAGAAGTCCTATCCTTAATGATGCTGCAAAAGCTAACTTTTCTTTAACCACTCTGACCATTCTCTCTCTCTCCCTGACATCCATCCTACTACCACCTCTTTCCCTTAGATAAGAGCCTTTCAAAAGAACTTTCTGCAATGATGGAAATGTTTTATATCCGTACTGTTCAGTAAAGTAGCCACATGTGACTATTTAGCACTTATAATGTGGCTAGTGTGACTAAGGAAATACATTTTTGTATTATTTAATTTTTTTCTTTTTTTCTTTATTTAAATTTAAGCTTAAATAGCCACATATGGCAAGTGGCTACAGCACAGATATGGAACATTTCCATCACTGATGAATGTTCTACTGGACAATATTGCCTTAAATTGTATTCCAGACTCTCCTCTTCTACTTCAAATTTCTTCTTCAAGATCACCAAGCTAAACTCTCTGCTTCCTTCCTACTCACTGTTTACTGTTCTGTTTCTTAAAGCATATTGGATAATTTAAACTTCAGTCTGGATGCTGAAAGGCCTCTAAGAAGAAGAAATACTACATCTTGAAAATTCAAGATACATATATATTAAAAATCTGATGCTGATCAATCCTTATTATTGGCAATTTTATTTGTATATTTAGTCTTTATGACTTCCATAAATTAACCAGTGGTATTATATATCAAATGATTCATTAGTCCTATCTGAATTGTTCTAAATAAACCTTAAGGCCTAGCACCAGCTATAAGTAAAGACTTTAAAATCATTTAATTATTTAAAATGATGATCCATGATCTATATATAACCATTCTATAGTGTCATCATTGCAAATAAATGCTTAATACAAGCAGATTTCCTCAAAGACCTACCCTTTCCTGGTATCGTCTTTCAAAGAAAGCCATATCATCCTCTTCAGATCTCCTTAAGGAAGAAACTTGACTACTTGTGCCTTCTAATAAGGGACGGAGGGGAGGGAAAAACAAAACAAAATATATATATATATATATATACACACACACACACACACATATACTACATATACTGTATTTATTATATAACTATAAATTCTCTCTAGATTTAAAAAAAAAACAAAAAAGTTTCCTCCTACCAGTTGATATTGTCTTATTTTTTAAACCAGAAATGGTTTCAATAGATAATTAGTCCTATTATGAACTATGAAATTCTTTTTTTAGAAAGAATGGCATCATACGACAAAAGTAATTTTACTTAGCAACATTTTCCAATTAAGTAACACCACAGCTATTTCATATGCTACTAAGTAAACACTTAGTTTTGTTCACTGCTTTTTAAATTTTATAATTAAACTGGAAATCCATGTCACTCTGTATCAGATAATGCCCAAAAGTAATTATTGAGGCTTTACATAGCAAAACGATACTACCTGCTTTGAAATTTTTCAAAACTAAAACAATGTCAGCCATTTTTCATGGTATCGACTTGAAAAACAATCAAACCCTAGTTTAAGTGTTAGAAGGAATTGTTTCAGAAGAAAATCCGGTTTTCTTTGTAGGTACCCTATGAGCCCACTTCCATGGAAAAGTTAACCTTTGCAGGTGAACATCTTGCTTCCAAAACCAAAAACCAAACTCACTGCCATGGAGTCAGATTCGACTCA